AGTGAACTATGAAGCCCATACACCATAACTAGAAAGAAGCCTGCAACAAAGACCCCATATGCCACAACCAAGGCCTGATGCAGTCAACATAATAAATATATAAACAAATAAATGAAATTTGTCAGCAAAATGTTCTAGGTATTCAGAATACAATATTGAGCAAAATAGAGAAAATGCCTCTTTCCTGAAGCTTATAATCTACTGGTGACAGGCAAACAATTTAAAAATGTATGTATATACTAGTAAACAAGCAGCATTTATTATGTGTCAAGAGATAGTCTAATGTTTTACAAGTATTAATGCATTTGATCCTTGCTCCAACTCTGGAGTTGATACTGGAAGTGTTGTATTGATATTGAAGGTAGACTATCACAATAGGTTAAATGTTTGTCTACCACAAACACTGAAGCAAACACTTTGAGACTGGTAACACTCTGATCTCAAAACCTGATAGAAATATTACAAGAGAAGAGACTTCAGGCCAATATCCTTCATGAACATACATGAAAGATACTTTTAAAATTTTAGCAAAAGCAATCCAATATAAAAATGAATATTTTATAAAAGTGTATATATACCAATAATAATACATAATGGGCAAGTAGGATTTATCCCAGGAACGCAAGGTAGTTTTCCTCATCCTACTTCTCTCTTGCTCTCCAACTTTAGTTCTATTTGCTAATTGATATTCATTCTACAAATATTGCCTTGTCATAGAAGTTTTTTCTTTTTTTTTAATTTCCAAAGCTGATTAGTTTCCTTTTCCCCATTCTTTACCAGTCTTTTATATTTCTCTACTCATTATAGCAATTATTATATTATGTTATAGTTGCTTTTGCCATTAGATTATGAGTTGTTGGAAGCTGGAACTGGGTTGTACAGATCTCTGAATTTTCTAAACCTGGCATTTTCCTGTTGCTCAGTATTTATCTGTTGGATCGAACAGACCTAGAGGATAACCTAGACAGACATTAACTCCAAAATTGTCCTTATTTTCCTTCTTCTTAGATTCCTACATTAAAACTTATGTCTTTTGGGAAAATGCTCTGTCCTTTATTATCATGCCAATATGTCAAACTACTTAACACATTTCAGGTTTTGTCAGCTATTTACACCCTTGTGTTAATTGCTTTATCAGAGCCTTTCTTCTGCTATTGTTTGCTGCCAGCAAGATTTAACAAGGAATATGTATAAATGTGTGTGTGTGTGTGTGTGAGTAAAGAGAAAGGAGAAAGAGCCTAAGTTTAATTAATTCCTGGAGGGGAAGATGACTGATGAAATTTATCACAACAAAGGAGGGGACAAAACAAGTAAAAACTCCAAGCAGACTAATACTTTGGTGCCTGGGGCAGCTGAAAACTTGAATTCATTAAATATTCTTTAAAGATTTGTTCAAGTATCCATTAAGAGAATGCTAGGACAATGGAATATTATTCAGCCTTAAAAACGGAGATCTTCTCATTTGAGACAATATGGTTATTTATCTCCACTAGACACTCTATCTTCATCTGTGTTTCACATAACAACTATGTAGAACAATTGCTGATGACTGTGAAGTAATTGTTTACTGAAATGACAGGAAATACTCTATTTCTCAAATAGATGGCAACTATTCTCACATTTCAGAGAGAGGTAGTAGAAATCTTATGCAGTATTGATAAAAGACAAGACAGAAGATAGTTTATGAGACCACAAACCAAGGACTTTCATTTCACGGAAGAATATAGAGGGACTTTAAACCCTGCTTGATAGTACTCCTAGGAAGTGGGATGTAAAATCAGCATACATGTTGAAGTACTAAATTTCAGGGACTGAAAGAAGAAATGTACTTAGTCAGCTAGATGAAAATGCACAGCCCCCTTCTTCAGAAGCACACTCAAATGGTCCTAGAGGAAGGTTTCTAGTGAAGTGATAAAAGCATCTGTTCTCTCTTGAATCCACTAAACCCAGAAAGCATGAATGCAGATTACACTGGTAGCAATTTAAAAAGATATTATTTGTCCCTTATATCATTCCCCTCTCCTGTTTCATCCCTGGTAGAGCCAAAGGCCATTTCTTAGGTAGAGAATAAACAAGGTAGAAATAAAGATGCTGACCATTCCTTATTTCCTAAACCTGAGGCAGACTTTTTAATTCCTAAATACTTCAATGTATATTTCTTAAAAACAAGGACATTCTTGAACATGATACTACAGTGACAAAATAGGAAGTTACTTGATACATCATGATTATCTAATCTATTAGCCTTATTTAACATCTCCACTGATTATCTTACTAGTCACCTTTATAGTAAAAGAATTCTTGGTCCAACTTTCAATCTGAAACCTAAAATCACAAAATGCATTTGTAGGTCATGAATATTTACATGTCTTTAACCTGGAAAAATCTTCCTTGATGTTACTTGATCTCGACATTTTTTTTTAAATAAAAATGTTTAATTTATTTTTTAATTGAAGGATAATTGCTTTACAGAATTTTGTTGTTTTCTATCAAACATAAACATGAATCAACCATATGTGCACATACATTCTCTCCCTCTTGAACCTCCCTGACATGTTTGATGAGTTCAGACTAGACTGTATGTAGACTATCTCTTAGGGGTGTGTGTTTTGAAGTTCTCTTATGATTTGATTCAGTATTTGCATTTTGGACAAGAGTATCCCACAAGTGATACATGTTATGTTTAGTGAATGATATCAGGCAGCACCTCACATTGATTGGCTCATTACTATGTGACTTTGACCACTTGGTTAGGTGGTGTCTACCAGATTTATGCACAGTAAGAATGTTATATTGTTGTTGTTCAGTCACTAAGTCATTTCTAACTCTTTGAAACCCCATGGACTGCAGCACAGCAGGCTTCACTATCTCCCAGAGTGCTCAAACTCATGTCCATTGAGTCGGTGATGCTATCCAACCATCTTATCTTCTGTCACCCTCTTCACATTTTGCCTTCGGTCATGGCTGACTCTTCGCAACCGCATGGACTATATAGCCCATTAGACTTCTCTGTCCACCTGATTCTCCAGGAAAACATACTAAAGTGGATTGCCATTTCCTCCTCCAGGGTATCTTCCCAACCCAGGGATCGAACCCATGTCTCTTATGTCTCCTGCACTAGCAGGCAGGTTCTCTACCACTAGCACCACCTGGTCATGTGAAATGCCAGGCTGGATGAATCACAAGATTGTTATAACTCTTTGTGATTAATAAATACTTTTGTGAAGAGATTCTGTGTGATGGTAAATATCCTATTTTTTATCACAAGTTCACCCGCTAGAGTTCACTCACTTAATTCCCATCTAAATGAAGGTTATGATTTTTAAAGCACAAATTATTTCATTCATCAGTTTTTCATTTTCAGATTTTCTCCTAACCTGAATAGTTGTGTTTGCTCTAATTCTTTTACATTTTTTGAGTATGTGGATAAATAACATGTTTCTAAAACTCAATACTGTGCAAAAAGGATTTCAAACAAAAAGTGTCTCTCAGTGCTCAGGGCTGGTGCACTGGGAAGACCTAGAGGGATGGGATGGAGAGGGAGGCCGGAGGCGGGGATCGGGGTGGGGAACACATATAAATCCATGGCTGATTCATGTCAATGTATGGCAAAAACCACTACAATATTGTAAAGTAATTAGCCTCCAACTAATAAAAATAAGTGGGAAAAAAAAGTGTCTCTCATCCTATTCTTTTTATTCTATATCCATCCTTCATTCTTTCCACCTCATTCTTACTGTCTATGGACAACATATTTCATTAATTTGTGGCTTATCTTTTCTGAGATTTTGGACAAAGGATAAGAGATATTTATATTTTTTCATAATTTTTTTCTTCTACAAAACAACTTAATTTGGTATTTTTTTACCTTTATGTTTTTCACTTTAAAACATATCCTAGAAATTGTTCCCACTTATTTATAGAAATGCATCATTTTTCATTATAGAGCAGCATTGTATTCTATTGAGTGTATGTACAATAGATTATTTAAACACTTTCTGGAAATTCTCATTGTTCCCAACATTTTTCGGAAGGCTTATGCTTCAGATTTCTGCTAATTATAGGGGAGTGGACAAAATATTTACTGAAATAATTGAAGCTAGGCATACAACTGGACAATAGCAATAATAGGAACTATTGTTACTCAAGAAAAAAAGTAAAGCAGCCTATATCCAATTTATATATAATATTAATATATAATATATAATATTATATAATTATAATGTACATATATATTATACATTACATTGTATATTATAGTAGTCATATGGTGTATTAAATACATTTCATATTATACATTTTATATATTAATACATATACATATAATGCTTCTACAAATTAATAAAATAGAGTCTGAAAAATAGGTCAAAGATACTAAAATTAAAATTAAGCTGAATCAGGACTTTCCTGATGATCTGGTGGTTAAGACTTTACCTTCCAGTGCAGGGGTGCAAGTTTGATCCCTAGTCAGGAAGCTAAGATCCCACATGCCTTGCAGCCAAAAAACCAAACCATAAAACAGAAACAATTCAATAAGCAGTAACAAATTCAATAAAGAATTTTAAAATGGTCCACATCAAAAAAAAATTTAAATGGTAAGCTGAATCATATCAGCTATATTACCAAATTACAAAACCTCTTCACTGGTTAAGGGATTCTTAAGTAAGAATTCTGTAGGGTGAGGTGACCCCACAGACAGTTAAAGATAGGTCAAGACCACCGTTCTGGAAAAATGTCTTCTAGCTGGGATCAGTAGTCTATGTCCATTGTATAATAAAGATACATGCATCTTCAAGTAACAAAACAGAACACAAGTCAGATTAAACAAACAAAAAAATGGAATTTATTGGCTCAAATAAGTCTGAAGTTTGAGCAGAAACTAACCCTGTTTTGTAAATCAACTATACACCAATAAAAATTGGTTTTAAAACAGAGGATCTTCATGTACACACTGCTTTATTAAAAATGGATAACCACCCTTTTACGCGGTCACGCTGAAGTAGCGCCCGGGCCTGGAATCCCCCGCCGCCTCCCGCCGCCGCTGGACCATGGACCCCGCAAAGTGAGTGAGCTTCGAGCCTCTGTGAAAGTGTGTAAGCAGGACCCGAGCTTTCTGCACACCGAGGAAATGCGCTTCCTGAGGGAGTGGGTGGAGAGCATGGGGGTGTAAAATACCACCTGCTGCTCACAAAACTAAATCGGAAGAAAATACCAAGGAAGAAAAATCAGATAGTAAGAAGGCGGAGGAAAACATAAAGACAGACGAACCATCAAGTGAGGAAAGTGATCTAGAAATTGACAATGAAGGTGTGATTGAACCAGACACTGATGCACCTCAAGAAATGGGAGATGAAAATGTGGAGATAACTGAGGAGATGATGGATCAGGCAAATGATAAAAAAGTGGCTGCCACTGATGCCCTGAATGATGGTGAGCTACAGAAAGCCATTGACTTGTTCACAGATGCCATCAAGCTAAATCCTCGTTTGGTTCTGTATGCCAAGAGAGCCAGTGTCTTCATCAAATTACAGAAGCCAAATGCTGCCATCCGAGACTGTGACAGAGCTACTGAAATAAATCCTGATTCGGCTCAGCCATACAAGTGCCGAGGGAAAGCACACAGACTTCCGGGCCATTGGGAAGAAGCTGCCCATGATCTTGCCCTTGCCTGTAAGATGGAGTATGATGAAGATGCTAGTGCAAGGCTGAAGGAAGTCCAACCAAGGGCCCAGAAAATTGCTGAACATCGGAGAAAGTATGAGCAAAAACGTGAAGAGCGTGAGATCAAAGAAAGACTAGAAAGGGTTAAGAAGGCTCGGGAAGAACCTGAGATAGGCCAGAAGGAGGAAGAAGCCAGAAGGCAATCAGGATCTCAGTGCGGCTCTTTTCCAGGCGGCTTTCCTGGGGGAATGCCTGGAATGGGAGGGGGCATGCCTGGAATGCCGGGAATGCCTGGGCTCAGTGAAATTCTTCGTGATCCAGAGGTCCTTGCAGCCCTGCAGGATCCAGGAGTTATGGTGGCCTTCCAGGATGTGGCCCAGAACCCGGCAAATATGTCAAAATATCAGAGCAACCCAAAGGTTATGAATCTCATCAGTAAATTGTCGGCCAAATTTGGAGGTCAAGCATAATGCCCTTCTGACATAAAGCCCTGCTGGAGGAAAAGCAACTTAGATCACCTAATGGATGTTGCAATAATACAAACCAGTGTACCTCTGACCTTCTCATGAAGAAAGCTGGGGTGCTTTGAAGATAATCCCTACCCCTTTGCCCCAGATGCAGCTGAAAACATTTTACAGTGGTTTGCCGTTAGGGTATTCATTCAGATAATGTTTTCCTACTAGAAATTTAAAACTTTAAGCAATTTTTAAACCTTAAAAATATTTAAAATTAAAAAGGTATATTAACCCCTACATTTTTCTTTACTAATGATTTTGATTTTTTCCTTTGAATTAATTAGGCAAGTAAGATATATCAGTGTGGAAGATTTGTTGTTACAAGTTTGAAATAAAGATTTGTTAGTGGGAGGCAAATACAACATTTAAATAGATAAACTTTGAATTGGACATATGGAAAAAAAATGGATAACCAACAAGGTCCTACTTTATAGCACAAGTAATGTGCTCAATGTTGTGTGACAGTTTTGATGGGAGAGGAATTTAGGGGAGAATAGATATATGTGTATATATGCTCTGAGTCCCTTTGCTATTCACCTGAAACTATCACACCATTGCTAACCAGGGTTGCCAATATAAAACATAAAATTAAGGAAAAAAAGAGGATCTTAGCTGATGGTGGGAAAATAAAAAGAAGTTTCCATTTTGGGGAAAAGACTTGATCCAATGAACTAACATCTTCTGTTTCTCTCCTTTACTGTAAATAGTATTTTTTTTTTTAACTAAGATGTTTGCAAAATATCTCCAGGCAGTAAACGTGACTCCCTACTCACTTTGTTCTTGTTTGTTCACCTTGCAGGAGAGATTACATCCCATACATTAACTATCAAGCAATAGCTTCATGCTTCACTCTGGGTCAACTTAGATTACATTTCCACACTGAATCAGACAATATAGCCAGATGATTGCACACACTTGTCTTCAGTTCAGTTCAACCACTCAGTCGTGTCCGATTATGTGACCGCACGGACTTCAACACACCAGGCTTCCTTTCAGAGCTTGCTCAAACTCATGTCCATTGAGTCAGTGATGCCATCCAACCATCTCATCCCCTGCTGTCCCCTGCTCCTCCTGCCTTCAATCCTTCCTAGCATCAGGGTCTTTTCCAGTAAGTCAATTCGTCACATCAGGTGGCCAAACTATTGGAACTTCAGCATCAGCATCAGTCCTTCCAATGAATATTCAGGACTGATTTCCTTTAGTATTGACTGGTTTAATTTCCTTACTGACCAAGGGGCTCTCAGGAGTTTTGTACAATACCAGAGTTTGAAAGTTTAAATTTTTCAGCACTCAACTTTCTTTATGGTCCATCTCTCACATCCATACGTTACTACTTGAAAAACCATAACTTTGACTAGATGGACCTTTGTCAGCAAAGTAATGTCTCTGCTTTTTAATATACTGTCTAGGTTGGTCATAGCTTTTCTTCCAATGAGCAAGTGTCTTTTAATTTCATGGCTGCAGTCACCATCTGCTGTGATTTTGGAGTTCAAAAAAATAAAGTCTCTCAGTGTTTCCAATGTTTCCCCATCTATTTTCCATGAAGTGATGGGACCAGATGCCATGATCTTAGTTTTCTGAATGTTGAGCTTTACTTTTTCACTCTCCTCTTTCACTTTCATCAAGAGGCTCTTAAGCACTTCTTCACTTTCTGTCATAAGGGTGGAGTCATCTGCATATCTGAGGCTATTGTTATATCTCCTAGCAATCTTGATTCCAGCTTGTGCTTTATATAGGCTGGCATCTTGCATGACCTACTGTGCATATAAGTTAAATAAGCAAGGTGACAATATACAGCCTTGATTTTCTTCTTTCCTAATTTGGAACCAGTCCATTGTTCCATGTCAGGTTCTAACTGTTGCTTCTTGACTTGCTTACAGATTTCTCAGGAGGCAGGTAAGGTGGTTTGGTATTCTCTTTAAGAATTTTCCACAGTTTGTTGTGATTTACACAGTCAAAGGCTTTCGCATAGTCAATGAAACAAAAGTGGATATTTTTCTGAAATTTTCTTGCTTTTTTGATGATCCAACAGATGATGGCAATTTGATCTCTGGTTCCTCTGCCTTTTCTAAATCCAGCTTGAACATCTGCAAGTTCTGGGTTCTCGGTTCATGTACTGTTGTTATCTTAGGCTTACTTAAAATATCTCTCACTAAAGTTTATGTTGGGGTCCCTCTCAGCCAAACAACAAACTGCTATGCAGCAGGGATGAAAATGGACCAGATGTTGCTAAAACCTTCTGCAACATACAGAACACCTAGTGATCACTCCATATCTCCCACTCTATCTAACTGGAAGCAGGGAAGTGGAGGAGGCACTCAACTGGTTTCATAGGTCATTTCCACACTTCCACTTTAGATTTCTGTGAGGAGTATCCCTTTTCCTTAACTTGAGATGCTAAGGCTTCCAAAAAACAATAGGGCCCTTTTCCATGAGCCAAATTAAAAATAATATTTTAAGTCATCTTCCTATCCCATGTATTTTTGTTATAATTGTTCATTGGATAACAAGAGGATGAGTGGAGAAGAAAAATTATAAATATGGTCTCATGTTTCTCCTTTGTTTCCAAAACTGAAAGAAAACTTGAGGTAAGATTATTTGTTACAAATAAAAAACTGGTAAAACAAAAGTTAATAAATTTTTCAAAAATTTTAAATTAGAATTGGATATGATCCTTTCTTTCCATTATGGCAGGAAAAATGGAAAAGATGTCACTGGTTTAATAATGAAACATTTCCAACATTACTTGTAGTTTCATCTTTTCTATTTTCTCTTTACAGTACATTATATGACTTTGTAGTGTGGGAAAATTGTTTGCAGAAATGAAAGCAGTTAATTTGACAATTTTTGTTTTTAATTTCTTCTTGTTAAATATGTGTTTGTATGCCTTAAAAAAGCTAGGAGAACTGTTTAATATGATGCATATCTGCCAAGAGAAGAAAAGTCTCAATCTTGGGAAAATAGACAATCACTTTAGGATAGCTGTATAAAAATGAAAATTAACTATTTGTGAGTCTTAAGGGAAATCACTAGTCTAAGCAGGAATGCCAAAAGAACATACTATATAAGGAAAAAGAAGGGTCTTTCGCCATCATACTAAATTACACAGAAGGTAAACATAAATACAATGATTATGGTGTATTTGTTTCTACTGCACTGTTTGAATTCATGTCCCAAGGAAGAGATAATCAAGTGAAATCAGGATTAAGAGCATCTTTCTTGAATTTCTAAGTCTAAAATTAGCATTAAATATGTTATTCAGGATACCAAATTTTAAAACTATTTTAATGAAGTTATACATATATATATATATGTATATATATATATATATATATATATATATATATATATATATATATATGTATATATATATATATATATATATATATATATATACATATAGACTATATCCCCCATCATTTTTTCAGTGTTTGAAATGTAGTTCTTTGAAGAAAAAAAATATGGGAATGAATTTGCTAATTAAATTGCCACACAGGATGTAAGAACAGGGACTGTATTTCTATCCTGAGTTGAGGCTAAGTCCAGGACACGATGACGCAGAGAGGGGACCATAGACCTTACCTTCTGATAGGCTACAGGCATGTTTGTTAAATAAGACGAGTAGCCCCAGGAATGTTAGGACAGGTGAGGATCTCACCATCATAATGGAGAAAACAGAGCTTCTAGAGTGGGGTGGGGTTGAGGGAATGAGTCAGAAGCCTACAAAAAATTGGAGGAGGCAGTGAGCTATTCTGACACCTCCATCTTGTTGCCTCCCATAGAGGCTGTACAGTATGACAGAGTAGGTAATCTTCAGATAACAGTGTGAATTTCTGGCTAGATGGTAGTAATAGTGATGTCTATACACTGCCTTTACCTGTGAGAACTCTAGCATCCGGGGGGATCTGAAATTATAAGCTCTTTGATGGCATACTCTAAGACCTTTCCTCTCTCTCTTAGTTATTCACATGGCGGAGTCAATAATTTGGATACAGCTTGGCTACTTGCACTTCTGCAGGATGATGACCCAGAGACATTATATTACTTCTGGAAATTTTTTTGTGTGACTTCAATATACTCAGGACTGATGGACAAAGGCATATGTGTGTATTAAATACAGATATCCTTTTACACAACTTTGTTCACTTCTTTATCAATATCCAGAATCTGAAACCACAACCATCAATATGTGATCAAATCTCAGGTATTAATATGAAGGATGTCAAGTTTTCAGGTATTAATATGAAGGATGAACTTGAAAAAAATAAAATTTGCCTCGTAAATAAACAGAAACATTGTTTCATTCAAGACTGAATTTTTAAAAACATTACATTTTTAAAAAAGAATGTCAAAGTTATCCACAGCACTCTCACTGATGAGGTGTGACTCTTCTGATCCTTGTTGTCCTGTAGTCAACTGGCTTCTGCCCTGGATTTCCTGGCTTGATCCATCTTCCCATCCATTTCCACTCCTGTGACTTCTGTGCAGAAATGAGTGGTTTGGAGGAGAACCTGGAGGCAGAGATTATGGTTGGAGATTTGGGGGAGAAAGATTCTGAAGAACTCTGGAAACAGGTAAAGAAGTGGAGCGATGCATTGAGCAAATGCTCTTCTCTTTTTTTAATTTAATTTTATTTTTTTATTTTTATTAGTTGGAGGCTAATTACTTTACAATATTGTAGTGGGTTTTGTCATACATTAACATGAATCAGCCATGGATTTACATGTATTCCTCATCCCGATCCTCCCTCCCACCTCCCTCTCTGCCCGATCCCTCTGGGTCTTCCCAGTGCACCAGGTCCGAGCACTTGTATGCTCTTCTCTAGCACCAGCTGGAAGCATCTTTTTCAACTGTTATCAAAAGCTAATTGTTCCACTCAGTCTCCCAGGTATGCTAACTGAACAGTGTTGGGTTGTTTCTCCAGTCAGATAGCAGAAGACTCCAAATTCTTTCATTCTCTAGGTGTCTGATCTGGTTACTTGATTATTT